TGTCACGCCGGCGCAGTTCGACTTGATGTCCAAGTCGGCCAACTGCGCGACGTACTATACCTTTGTGCAAAAGGCGCTCGCGTCGATCCAGCCACCGTGTGCCCTCACGATGACGCCCAAGGTGACGACGACCGCCGACATGGCTGCGTATACGTTCCAGCAGTACACGGACTTTTTCAAGGCGTCGTCTTCGGCGTCGGCCAACACGACGACGGTCGCACCGGGCAACGACAAGACGACGTCAGTGCCTGGCGCAGCTACGACCAAGCCCTCGTCTGTGTCGTCGTCGACCGGCAGCGCGACGGGGACGTCGACCAAGGCGCCGACGCCCAAGCCCACGTCCAGTGCCGCCAGCGTGACGACGGGTCTCCTGACCGTCGCTGCAGTCGCGGTCGCGGCCATGTAATACCGTTATCTCCATGAAATTCATGTTTTTTTCTTGAGCGGCCGTCGTTGGTTTGAAACCGCCATGCTGGAAAGTGCAACACACGTGGCACGCGGACGTGTGCGCAACTGCATACAAAGTACGCGTACCACTGCGAAGGATTCTGTCGTATTTCTTGGTGGTACTGCCACGGCATCGATGCGCCGCCGCTGCTCATGTACATCGTCGTCCATCGCATCTTGCGACCGGTCGAACGCCTGCATCATGAACTGGTGGCGCGCGTGTCTGCTGTTGTGTTGCAAGCGCGCAAACAGGCTCCGATGCTGCAGGAGAGGCAATCTAAAACCCACACCCGGTTCCAAATGCGATGACCTTTGTCATCGTCTTGCCGTCATGGCTTCTTTGTATGAGACGACAACATGGATCTCTGCAGCGCGTACATGGAGTACCGTGGCTGGCACTTGCGAATCGAGGACCTCGTACCACCAAAGTGTACACAGCCTGGCCAGTGCATAGGACGCCTACTGACGCATACGTGCATTGAATTTGACAGCTACGGGATGAGCTGGGACGACACTGCTACGTGCACGACGATGGAAGCAAGAGCATGCAAGACAGTCAATTGACGGCCCGCGTGTTCGACTCGATCCTCAAATGGCATTCTGAGCGTTTGCGATACCCTTTGTATGTGACGAGATTGTGTGGCATGCTACCCCTTGCAGCATGCTACATGGAGCACCAGAGCATATCTGTGGTACAAGCTGACAAGCCTTTCGAACGCACTAGGAGCGAATGCCGCCACAGCAACGATTGGTCGTAGTGCAGAAGCAGCTCTGAAGTGAACCAACCTAGCACCACAAGCACAACGAGGTGCGGAGCCATTGAGATTGATCGCATGGCCTGCTCCGACACAACCACCAGTTGCGCCGCTCCACAGAGGCAACCGAACGGTTGCTTCTGTGCGTCCAGGAGGTCGAGTAGACGTGGTTCGAGAGCCCTTTCCGTGTCCAAGCAAACTGCCTTCTCATCATCATCATTAGCAAGCAGCGTCAAGAAGCAACGCGGGAGAAGCACCCGCGCGCGTGGAAGAACGTGGTGTCTTCGAGGACGCACCTAGGATCCTAGCTGTGTGCTCTGTCGCAGAGAGGCTGCACTGTACACCATCTTTGGTGGGTTCTATGATTCTATGATGGGCAAGGCGTGTCGTTGGTTTAAAGACCCCGCCTGGTACGACAACATGCACAAGCGGCTTGGCAGGAACGATGCCACGTCGACCAGATTTCCATCGACCGCGAGGCGAGTTGAAGACGATGGCTCAACGATTCACCCTTCTCCCAACTTCAACCTTTTAGCGCAAGGACGGAACGTGCGCGATCGTCCGTCGTCTATTGCTTCTTCGAATCACACGACACAAGCGACTCAGATCTACATTGGACCGTTGCAACATCCAGAGGGCTCCTCGGAGCTTTCAGTAGGGAGCGTCCTTGCGCTGCTAATACACTACAGTTACGGCCACGTCTAGGATTGCCTCGCACATTCGCAGGACCTCCTATCAATTGCCCTTTGTCGCGTGCTCGATGCATCATCAGGGGAGACCTCGGAACACATCGCAAGACGGCGACACCAAGTGTGCATAGGAAAAGTGTCTTCAACCTCACAAAGCGTTACACCGACGCAGGGACCTGCAAGATTTCGTAGACGGTGCAGAAGAAGAGAGGGCGTCCGCGAAGCTCCGCGTGACGCCACCCATGCCACATCCCTACCACTCAGCGATTACGATCGTCGTCGCGTCGGCACGTCTGACATCGCAACCGACGGCAAAGCAACAATGGCGGCTCTGCCTAGTAGCTCCATTTTCTTCAAAATGTCATGAAGCGGACGCAAGGGTAAACATCAAGTACTGTACTAAACCATCAAGACATCACAAGGACACACCAGACGCGGGCACAGACGCAAACGCGCGTAGCGCGACGAGAAGGATAGATGACAGTCCCCATTTCGTTGGCTAGCCGCCGAGTACAGAGTAGTACCGTACTGCACTAAAGATATGCGAAATGGACCGTGGACCACGGAGCTCTCCTCGGAATCATGGTTGCATCCAGATGCCAATGATTGCGAGGGTGCGCGGTGCCCCGGGTACGCGGGCGCGACATGGACGCGTGCCCCGGGGCGTTGGCCGGAACAAGCCGCGCACGGTTCAGTTTGCAATTCGAAGCGTCATGCACACGTCCCCGTCGTCGTCGTCAAGTCCGCGCCGCTACAAGCGGTACCTCACGGAAGAGACTCTCGAGCGCAACCGGGAGCGCTCGAAAAAGTACTATGCGCAAAACCGCGCCAAAGTGCTCGCAAAATTAAAGTCGAATTACGCCAAGAAGCGCGAGGCCGAGACCACCGCGTACTGCGAGAAGCACCGCGGGTTCTTCATCAGCTACTTTCAAGTCGACCCATTGGCGCCGACAAACAAGGACACGGAACCCCCGTCGTCACCACCCCACCCCACCACCCTCAATGCGCTCGACTTGGCCTACATTTTGAACTAGCGTACATAATATATACACTATTTAGTTTTGTTTTGTGGCGGACCGCAACACGGACACGTCGGACCGTCGACACTGCGAAAAGCTCCTCGCAAACGTCCGTCACCGTATCCATGTCCCCGACGTCTGCAGTTTTTAAAAGATTTTGGCGCGACCGAGTGGCCATTCACAGCGTTCTTGTTGTTGTTGAAGTGAGTCTATTTCAATATAATTTACACTGAGCTGTATGTGTGGAAGAGCAGGACTGAATAGTTGGTTAGTTGAGCAGTCGGTCTTCTCTCTCCCTCACCCGAATGTCACCACGTCCCTTTAACACGTACTAGTACACACGAATCGTTACGCGAGTTAGAAAAGCTAGAGAGCGACGGTGGCCTTTTCTTGTTCCTCAATCTGGGCTTGAAGGAGCGCGTCATTTTCCTTGAGTTTCGACATCAAATCCTTGAATAGCTTATCGAGGCACTCGCTGGCTTCCGCCGAGTTGGGCAATGTCGACAGGATGCGGTGCACTGTCGTCTTGACGTCGTTCATGCCGCACACGACCGTGTAGTTGGTCTTGGCGAGTGCGAGCCACCGGTACCAGTCGTCGGTCATGACCTTGACGAGCAAGCCAGTGCCTTCTTGGGCGACGGCCATGAAGCTTGCCTCCGAGATCATGTTGGGGCCAGCGATTTCGTAGCGGAGCATCGCCCAAAATCGGCGCACGTCTTCAAAGCACATTTTGGTGCGACCGACCGCCATTATGGTTATCTCGAGCCCCATCAGGGCTCGGCGACCGCGGGCGTGCTCCTCTTGGGCCAATCGCACGGCGCCCTCTTCGGCCAAATTCATGGCTAAAATCATGGCGCGCTCTTTGGCCAATCGCACGGCGCAGCTCATGTGATAACTGGCGCTTCGTCCCGCTTCCATTCGGGCATTGACGTCGCGCAGGACGTCGGTCACCTGCTCGAGGAGGTCCGATGTCACCTTCTCCGAGCGCGCAGCGAGCGTGGGCAGCGCCTTTAGCAGCGCTATAGCGTCGTCGCATTCGTGTTTCCGGAGGCAGAAAAGGCCAGCTTGAGGAGCTTGAGAGCTTCCATGGACGTTTGAACGTTCGTGGCGCTCGTAGTGCAAATGGCGTCGACCAGAGTCTGGTACTTGATTGCGAGACCGATGATCGACGCGTGGCAATCCTGCCCGTAGGACGCTGTGGTCGCGACTTCGAGGCAAGATGCAATCTCGTCAAGGCACCGGTTGCGATTCTGGCATGCGCAGGTTTCGCTCTGCGGCGACGACGTTCTGCAGGACGTCGGCGTTCGCGAGTACCGGCTCGACGTCCGTCTTGTAATCGTTGAACGAGCCGAAAGCACGCGTCGGGTCAGCCATGGTCGCAAGTTGGGAACTGCGATCTGCTCGGTGGCCGAATGAATGATATACTAGAATCAACCAATCACAGCAACGCAACGAAAAGTGTGAATCCTCGGAGCATTTTGGACTTGACAATTTGACGTGGACGCATTCTACTCCACTGACATTCGTTTGCGATTTAGACCATAGCTCATGACGACACCCTACATAGCGTGTTTTGAAGCGGAATGCTCTCGCCAATGCGCAGTGCACGATGGATGATGGCCTGGACCCAACACGATCCATTCTCTTTCAAAATATTTGACCGCGCCCGGTACAGTGCACTCTTCCCGTGGAAGAGTAGTATGTACAACGGTGGCGTGATGGGCAACCTCGCAGCTGCTGGAAAGCGCGCCACGAGATCACAGTCAATTCGATCCACGACCTCCTTGTAAGCTACAGCCAACGCTAGGAACTCATCCAGGATCGAGCGAGCGAGCACACATGTACACCCCGGCATCGTTATTCTGTAATATTACACTGTACAACTACAATCGCATTCAAATAGCAGACGCATAGATAGTATCAAGCAAGTGGTATCGAGCTACTTGAAGCTTGCCACAAACTTGGTTTCAGCAGTCGTGGACCGGTCACAACGCAATCGCACGACGACAAGAGACGACGCGCGGATGGACATCCAGGCAGTACGAGGCGCACCCACTCCTGTCCTATGCTTGACAAATTGGATGCGTGTAGATGGAGCTCGGCTGTGCCGCTGCCGAAGGTCGCTTGGCCGAAGTAAAGCGGCTCGTTGAGACCGACGGCGTGGATCCCAACTACGGCTCTGGGGTTGGACATTGCACTTCTTTCACATTGCCTTTCTATACATTCACATGCATACTGTAGAGAGCCCTGTGCAACGCGGCGGCCAACGGACACACGAACATCGTGGCCTACTTGCTGACAAAGCAGGTGGCGACTGACTATTGCGATCGCGTATGTTATCATTGAATCTCTCGTGATGGAGGGGATCGATCCGGTGTCCTCTTGTCCTAGGACGGGTTCACGCCGCTCATGTACGCGGTGGTCTCCAACTATCCTGACATTCTGCGCCTGCTCTTGAACGACGCCAAGGTCAACGTCGAAGCAACCACCTACGTACTCGACCCGCATTGAAAACGATACAAGAAGGACGACCTGCTGCTGTAGAAGCACCAACCGCTACTGCGCGTGGCTCTTGACAAGAAGCACGACGTCGTCGCTCAGCTGCTGCACGACCATCTCCGTCGCCAGAGTCAAGCCAAGGTACCAATTCTCAAGCAAACGAGAGAAATGTTGACGGCAGCATCTGGCTATCGCTAGCTGGGGGCAGCGCTGGAGGACGGACGACTCTCGGACGCCAAGACCATCTTGTCACAAGACACGGTCGATGCCACTCTCTTCGACGACGTACGCAATGACATGTTTACGATCCATGTCTCCTACACCAGAAAACCTGTAGACGGATCGGCCACTGGTGCACCGCGTCGCCGCGACGGGGGACCTCGAGCTCCTGCAGAAGGTCCTTAAGAAACCAAATGTCAACATTGACGCAACCGACAAGGTACACACACCACCGCAAACGTCAATGACAATATCGTCCATATCATTGTAGCAAGGAAAAACGGCGCTCGCATCCATTATTGCTGGATGCAGCGTCGACCAACAAGGTTCACGACGTCAACCAGCTCCTTCGTGCCGGTGTGTCGCTCACATCGACCAACAACGTACCGTACTTCGCCACTTCAAATCCCATAGCGTCTGCACTTTAGAACGGAGAGACGCCGATCCACGTGGCGGCTGCAAGCGGCTGTACCGCCGTGGTCCAGCAGCTGCTTGAAAAGGACGCCTCGCTCACGCACCGCCGCGATGCGGTAGGATCCATCTTTGGTTGTTACCATACCGAATGACACACATCACTTGTCGTTAGCGAGGCAATCTGCTGCTGCACAGCGCGGTGACCAGCGGCCAAGCAGCCATCGTCGACGTACTTCTCAAGGAAGCGACCCACATCGACCTCACGAGTACAAACAACGTACGGTCGCCACTGCTCTCGCCATCTCGAGTACTATCGGTTGCCGTGTTGTTTAGGAAGGCTGTACGCCACTGGATGTTGCCGTCCAAAGTCGCCACGCGGCGATGGTCGCGCGGTTGCTGAAGGCCCAAGCGTCGCTTGGCCCGGCGCCACACGTATGCCTCTCCGGTGCGCTTCGTACAGCACCGTGACGCGTATATCCGTAAAAATCCGATAGGTTCATTTCAACAACAAGTACACCGCGTGAGTTCTTAACATGTAAGCGTGGTACACATGTGTACCAGTCAACTCCAGTGTGTACAGTTGGAATGCCATGCTTTTCGACGCCACGACACGAATCGTATCTACTTGCTGAAGTCCATCCTGATGCGGCGCCGTCCAGCCTCGAGAGTGATCCGCAGAAACCTCACGATGATGCATACCACCATGACGGGGTTGCTTTATGGCCGATGCCACACGCGTACTATATCACAAGGCGGTGCGCTTCGTACCATGAAATATGTAGAGTGTTTTTAGACTTCAAAATGTCCACGGGAGATCTCGTACATGTTCTTGCTCTGGCATCGGAGGAGTGCGACACTGGTCTAGTAACCAGAATGTAGATGCTTGAAGGACACTTCAAAACCCCCGAGGGCTGGCGCCGACCGATTGGGCAATGTCGACATGATGCGGTGCACGGTCGTCTTGACGTCGTCCATGCCGCACATGGCCGTGTAGTTGGTCTTGGCGAGCGTGAGCCACCGGCACCATTCCTCGGTCATTTCTTCGACGAGAAAGTCCACGTCTCCTTCCGCGGCTAATTCGCAGGCCACATCCAACATGTCTGTCGAGTCCGAGTCGATCACGTTTTCGAGCCGGCCAAAATATGCGAGCACATTCTCAAACGTGGTTTTGATGGACGCAAGCGCTTTCATGGTCATGCCCGTGTTCGCGGAATACATGTAATGCATTTGGGCCGTGACGTCGCGCAGGACGTCGGTCACCTGCTTGATGAGGTCCGATGTCACCTTCTTCGAGCGCGCGGCGAGCGAGGGCAGCGCCTTTAGCAGCGCTATAGCGTCGTCGCATTCGTGTTTCCGGAGGCAGAAAAAGGCCAGCTTGAGGTGCTTGAGAGCTTCCATGGACGTTTGAACGTTCGTGGCGCTCGTAGTGCAAATGGCGTCGACCAGAGTCTGGCACTTGATTGCGAGACCGATGATCGACGCGTGGCAATCCTGCCCGTAGGACGCTGTGATCGCGACTTCGAGGGGACGTGCAATGTCGTCGAGCCAATAGACGCAATCCTTGGCAGACCGCAGGTTTCTCTCTGCGGCGACGACTTTCTGCAGGACGTCGGCGTCCCCGAGTACCGGCTCGACGTCCGTCTGGTAATCGTTGAACGAGCCAAAAGCACGCGTCGGGTCGACAAATGCCACCATGGTCGCAAGTTGGAAACTGCGATCTGCTCGGTGGCCGAATGGAAGGCTTCCAAAAAACCTTTATTTGCAAAATCCAGTTGTCTTTTTATTTCGTTTTTTGCGCAAAAAAAGTGATTAAAAATACGCTATCCAGATGCATCCAGTTCGCGTACGCCTCCAAAAAGCGCGCGACGCCCACGAACGTCATCCAGTTTGCATGCGATCGCCAGATCACATTATCTTGGTGTTTGTATGGTCATTGGCCCGCGGCGCTCGAAAAAGACAAAAGATTTCGACGGCGTTCATTTTCAATTTCGCCATGCACGTGGCATCGGACGTAGCGCTGCTCCATGAGCCTGCCTCTCGCCTTCGACACGAGCACGTATGAACGCAAGATCGTTGGCCGCGCCTTCTTCGCCACCGTACCGTCGACGCCGCCGTCACGTGCCCATCGACCGCCACGATGAGACGACGGGCTGACGCTACGCAAGCACGAGAACGCCTACAACAACGGTAGTTCCTATGCGCAAGGTGTCTGTCCACGCTCAATGTATTGTTAGAATGGACCCATAGCGTCTCCGTGACCGGCGTGCTCTGCTTCGAGATCGATGGAACGATCAGCTGGCCCAAGGACAACTGCTCGGGAAGCCGAAACGGCGGCGAGATAAGCCACGAGCAATAATGCGAGACTGTGGATCCGGCATCTTGCCGGAACCGGTAGTGTTGCGGCGGGCTCTGCGTTGCCTACCGGCGGATCTGTGAGAGCGAGATCATCAGCCCATCAAAGAACGGCAGTATGGAGCGGGCGGAGCGCGAGCACCGGCTCGGTTTGCAGGCCCGGAGTGATTGCATCACTTCTCATGGCTGGATGGGTTGGGTTGGGTGTGTGAAAGTTGCGTCCCGAGCGCGCTCGTGAAGAGAAAGAGAATGAGCTAGAAAAACGCAATTCAAACTTGGTGGTGCAAAGGGAAGTTGCGTGTTTGTCGTGTCGCTAAATGGAGGAGATACCTATAAAAACGCAATTCGGACTTCGAGAAATTTATGAGTGAAAGTGTCAAGTTTGTAGCGACATGGGTTTCAACTTGCTTGGGGGAAAGGCAGTCGCTGTGTATTCACCTCGTCGGGTGGCTGTCGAGCGAGAGCTGCTATCGACTCTCTTCGCGCATCGCGCGCTCTTCCTGCTCGCGGCGCTTCTTTATCCTCACGCTCGCGTATGTCGAGTTCTCGCTGGTGGACCGCATCGCTCCCGTCGCGCATCTCCTTGTACGAAGTCTGAGCCACGCAGTGTGCTGCACCGTGGCCCGGTCGGAGATGTGTGTAGTAGAATGCAAATATATCAGTGATATTGTTCGTGATGGAGGCTAGACCATGGGTAATCTGTGCATAGTGTGTAGTTTGGTTTGGTCTGCAGTAGATCAGTAGTTGCTGTAAGATTTCCAACACTCCTGACGCCGAGCGTACATGTCCTCGACGCGCAGCATAAAGGCGTTATCGCGGGACGACTTCTCCTTCTTGTCCTTTGCGTCATCGATAAAGCAATCGATGTTCTGGCGCTTGCGCGCCGTGCTCACCCCGCACGGGACCTGTTATAACTCAGTTCAACAGAAATGCAATGACAGTGCCTTGATCCTATATACCGATGAAGATGTGAGGGCACTCCATGTACATTCAAACGACCCGTAAGCACCCACAGCTGCCTGCATGCTGTGCAGTAGCGATGCAAAGCGTAGGAGACATCGAAGAGATTGCGCGATCAGAGGACCCCAAAACGCTTCGACGTCACTTGTATTGGATTGACTACTGTAGCTGCCAATGCGATGTGGGACACTACCGCATAGCACAACCCACTGCCTGGCCCACTCTTGTCGGACCATCGACGCTGCGCGTCAGAGCTACTATCACTGTATGTCAACTCCGCTAGGAAATGACAATGTTTAATGTTCTAGCGCCCCGTACCCGCATTTACCTCACACGGGGTCACTTTGGCACTCCAGGGGAAGGAAGATCCAAAGGTACATCAATCAATCAAACGTGTTTGCGTTGAGATCAAGGCAGCCCAAAGACTTCGTATACGTAACGCTACGCCTGAATGCATGGGAGTCGGCACTAGTACTTGGTCGTTGGAGTGAGCTGCGAACAGAGAGATCCGTCCCGTGGTGGACCCCACTCGCCGGGTGATCCAACAGTACCTGAACTAGCAAACGGTGAACGGACGGGTAACACAACTGGGATCCTGAATTTGAACCTGCAACAAGTGTTCTACCTGTCGCATGAGAGATGTGATAGGAACGCGCTCGTTTGATAAGCCGCTGGAGCAACGCCCAACGTTGTTTCTGCACGGTGGGAACGGTTGCGTCTAGTGGTGGAGTGCGGAGTGTCGAGCGTGATGCGTGAATGATTGCGGAAAAGCGAGGTAGGTACGTCAACAAGCAGTGTGGTGGCTGCAGTGTGCGAATGGGACACGACAACATGACGACACCCCAGCGCCTCACTGTTCCTGATTAGCTAACCGAGCCACATACTGGGCCACGTTCATTCGCCACTTTCAAAGCAATATCTGAGATATGATTGGCGGTTTCGAATACCGCACGCGGATTGGTCGAGAGTAGTCGGGCTGGCGATCTTGATCTATCCATCCGGAGCGCCTTACCACCGGCAATCACGAAAAGAATGAGCAGCCGAGGTGTACAGTACAGTGTACTTTCGAGTGTCATAAGCCTTATACCGTTATATTGCTTGCTAGACGCAGTAGTTGAGAGCTCACATTTTGTACCAGAGTAAGTGGAGGACCACCCGACGTGCCTTGACCGCCATGACGTTGGTCAAACTTGCTGGTCGCCTCGGTAATGCGCTGTCGGATTCTGGTTCGTGCGGCTGCCGTCATCATCCGAACAACACCCTGGATATATCCAACATCGCATGGATAGTGCGTCCAGGACACTCGACATACCCATCAGGCTCGACACCGAGGTGTTCGTTGCATTTTCAATGGGCCGTCATGATCCACTGCGATGCTAGAATGACATACACTCTGCAACGCCCGTTTGCTAACCGACGTGTTTTCCAGGGTGTCCCAGCCGGTTTTGGACCCAAGCAACCGGCTGGCGTGCCCTTTTCCCCCCTGCACTTTCAACGCGACCCCGACCCCGCAGTGTGCACTTGGCAAGGTCGTCCATGGAAGAAACACCAAGTCCCTCGAAACGAACGCTGTCGTCGCAGACACGCGAGCGCAATCGTGTCCGAGCACGCAGGTACTATGAGCGCCACCGCGAACTCGTGCTCGCCCGACTCAAGGCCCGGTACGAGGCCAAGTGCGCGCGGCAGCGAGACGAACGACGCCGGCGAAAGCACGTGCGTTTGCAAACAATGTGGCGGCGACATCCCCCGATCGACCGCATGTGCCTGGCCTTTCTCCTCAACTAATAGTCGGCTCGAAACGCCTTGCGTGAATTAAAGACAACTTGAACATTTGATTTCGCATTTACTTGGTGCAGACGAAAACGAGGCGGCTGCCAACAACGTCCGTCGCCCTATGTTTTAGTACAGGCGGGGCACTTCATTTGTTGTTCGAGTGAAGTCCTTGCGATATTGATGGCAGCACCGTGCCTTACATCCGGGACACTTCAAACCGACTCGGCGGATCGAGACCATCCGCCGATTCGCACGACGTCTATCGAGTGCAGTACATCGTCGATACAAAAGCCATCCATCACAGGCCAAGGACTTGGTGCATGCATTGGTTTGATGCGCCAACACACGTTGCTTTCCCAACTCAACAAAACCCAAGGTGGAGATTCCTGGCACTACATTTCGATTGTTGATTTTCACGCCGACCGTGGCGACAAGCGGCGCTGACGCTTGGCTGCGTGTCGGTCTTCGTCGGTGGCGTCCAAGGCCGCAAGGCCGGCCACGTCCAAAGCGCGCTCGTAAAACATCCAGTGGTGAGGCTTCTGCAGCACGATGTGGGACCCCGTCGGACTCTCGTCGATGGCAACGCCTGCGGATGGCAAGCGCTTCTCGACGGCGCTGAACAAGGGGCAGAGTCCAATGTGGGGCAAGCTGAGCAGCGACTGCGTTCCGTCCGACAAAAAAGTCGTGATCGCAGTGCATTGGACGCAGTCGCACGGCAGTTGAACGCTTGTAATGACCCACTTTGGGCGATGGGGCTCCATCTCGTTGGCCAGGTGGCGTTGCAGCACGGGCCGCGCCAGCGTCGCCAGCCATCTTGCGAGATCGTGGTCGTCATCGTGGTCGTCTCGCACCATCTGATGAAGCGGCACCAAGACGTACCGAGCGAACGCAACGTCGTGGAGGTGACGATGCGTCGCCACGGCGCGTCGCCACATGTCCAGAGGTCCGTCGAGCCGACGCAGGAGCAACAGCATCGCTTTGAGCACTGCGAGTTCGTCCCGCAAAAGCATTTCAACCACGTCAGGTGGGCTCTCGCGCATCTCGTCATCCACATCATTCTCATGGTCCTCGTCGATGATGTCGTCGGCCAGGAACGCCGTGACAAGCGTCAAAAGTGGGTCACGGAGCAAAGTCAGTGTCGGCGCATCGTCGAGGAGCTGCAGTAGAGCCGGCAAGATGAACCGCCCAAGCCACGCCTGCGCGTGCTGCAGTACGAGCGGCAGCGCATGGGCAGCTCGTGCGACACGAACAAGCGCGGCCAGCACTGCATCGTCGAGGATGCCGTTGAGACTCGCCAAGCAGCCGGGAAAGGTCGCAAATACCGTCCGGAGCCAAGGCCGTAGCTGCAAGTGCGCGGAGTTGTCCGTGTTCAAAAGCGGGTCGATCGCGACGGCGACGCAACAAATCGGATGGAACGCGGTCGGGAACTTCGTCTGTAACGTCGACAACGTCGACGCGCGATAGGCATCCACATGTTGCACGAGACTTGGCGGCAGCTTGGCACCGAGCCACGTCGCATTCGCCTCGGCCGTCAAGCCAAAGTACGCTTCGAGGACAAGCCCGTGATGGAGGAGCGCTGCTGGCACCGACGTTGGCGCCTCGGGCATCGACACGAGCGCGTGGAGAAGCGCATGCCAGCATTCGAGGAGGCCCTCGCGGGCAAATGGCTGCGTGTGCAGTGCACCACGCGGGTCGGCGAGATGCATCAAGAGCTCGGCGCCCTTGGCCGCGCCGAGCCACGTGGCGCCGGCGCGCGACAGCAGGTGCAGCAGTGCGTCCTGAAGCGGCTCCCAGCCATACGTCTGCAGCGCGTGCGTGATCCATGCAGCCATGGCATCAAAGTAATAGACGTCGCTCAAGTCGACCGCGTCGAGCAGAAAGGCCTGGATCAGCGGGAGGCGGTGGATCGAGACGAGCGCGGCGCCGAGGGCCGACGGCGACGGCAAGTCGAACGGATGCGTCTGGCCGACGTCCCGCGCAGCAAAGGCATCGATCGCAGCATGCGCAATGGCATCCACCTCCGACGGCGGCGTCGACTGCAGTGCGATGAGGGTCGCTCGAAAGCCAAGAAGGCGCCAGCGGTGCTTCTTGGGCCAGAGCACCAGGTAGTCAGGCGACCGACGGCGCGATTCGTTGATGGCAAGGCCAACAAGCGGCGCGCGGCAAAAGGCGCGTTGCACGGACGTTGGCACGTCAGCATCGGGCACAAAGATCGCGTCGGCAATCTCGATCGGCGCGTCGTCGTCGCCGAGCAAGTAGGCGTCAAAGGCGTCGTCGGGCGACGGCGCGGCCCGGACCAGCGCGACGTCAAACGCCGACGTGGCCAGCACCGCGTGCAGAAAGGCCCGGTCTGCCGCGCGCAGTGCGTCAAACGAGAGCGGACTCGTCGTCGGTCGATGGGCGCAGCTGTAGAGCGAG